CCAGGATTATCCTGACACAAAAAACAGACAAAACATCACCAAAAGAACTACAAACAAATGTCTTCCATGAACACAGATGTAAAAAAAAAAAAAAAAATTTAACAGAATTTTAACCAGAGAATCCAGCAAATATAAAAAGTATAATACATCGGGCAGCACCAGTAGCTCAGTAGGTAGGACACCAGCCACATACCCCGAGGCTGTCGGGTTTGAACCAAGTCCGGGCCAGCTAAAACACCAATGACAACTGCAACAAAAAAAATGGCCAGGCATTGTGGCAGGAGCCTGTAGTTCCAGCTACTTGGAAGGCTGAGGCAAGAGAATCACTTAAGCCTAAGAGTTTGAGGTTGCTGTTGGCTGTGATGCCAAAGCACTCTTCTAAGGGCAGCATAGTGGGATTCTGTCTCAAAAAAAAGGTACAATACAGCAAGAACAAGTGAAGATTATCCTAAAAATGCATAAACGGTTACTTCAACATTCAAAAAAATCAATGTAACTGACTGCATGAACTGACAAAAAGGAAAACATTATTACATCAATAGTGTAGAAAAAACATTTACGGCAAGAAAAATACTCTTAATAAGAGAGGGTAAAAAGATTGAATGTTTTCCACCTGAGACCAGGAGTAAGCCAAGGATGTTAGCTCTCTCCACATCTATCCACCACTGCATCAGGGCTTCCAGCCAATGCAATAAAGCAAGCAAAAGAAAGAAAAGCATATAAATTTAAAAGAAGGAAACAAATTCTTCACTGACAGACATAATGATGACCTACACAGAATATGTGAAGGAATCTACACATGACACTGATAATGAATTTAGCAGAATCATAAATTACAAAGCTTTATACAAAAGTCAATTATATTTCTATATACTAACAACAATTAGAAACAGATATTCTTTTAAATTACCGTTAAAATAACACAAAATATAAAATAAGTAGAGATGAATTGAACAAAATATGTGTAAGACCCTTACACTGAAAGCCACAAGACACTGCAGGGAAAAATAAAGATGACATAAATGGAACGAGACACTAAGTTTATGCATAAGAAGACTTCAGATCTGAAAAGGTCAATTCTCCCCAAACAGATCACTAGCCAAAATCCCATCAGGCTTTTCTATAGAAATTTATGAGCTGATTCTAAACTACCTGAAGAGAAACAGAAAGGATTTAGAACAGACAAAACAAATTTTGAGGATTTACATTGCCTGATTTATTTAAGACTTACTATAAAGCTTCAGTAATCAAGACAGTATATAACTGCCATAAGGAGAGATCAAAAGAACACAACAGAGTCCAGAAAACAGACCCATACATAATGGTCAACTGATTTTCAACAAAGGTGCCATAATCATTCAACAGGAAAAAATATCATCTTTTCAAAAAACTTGCTGGAGGGGCAGTGCCTATGGCTCAAAGAGTAGGGCACCAGGCCCCATATACATACCAAGGGGTGACAGGTTCAAGCCCGGCCTGGGCCAAAACTGAAAAACAAACAAACAAAAAAACTTGCTGCAACAACTTGCTGTTAACATTCAAAGAAATAAACCTAAACCTTTATTTCATACTACCCACAAAAAATTAACTCAAAATTGTTCACAGACCTAAATATAACAGTGCAAAGCAAAGACATGAAGAAAAAAATCAGAAGAAATTTTGCCCCATCTCTGTAACAAATCTATTTCTACTCCAATAGAATTACAGGGAAAATCCTTAATCTGAGGCTCTCCAGTCAACAGGTGATTCTATTAAAAAGAAAAGAGCATCTCCAACCTAAGAAGCACTCAAGCTAACTCCTAAGCAAGCACAATCCATAGAATCACAGAAAATCTGCCATGAAGATTAAGACACTGTCTACATCCTCGGAGCCTAGAAAAGGAAGCAGCAAAAATGCTGGGATTCCCTAACACTTAAACATGACTCAAAATATAACATGTGAAGTTACATCCATAGTATCACTGAGGTTCAGAGAAGGTACAGAATTCTGAGCTACAGGAATGGGACAGTTAAATTTCTATTATGTTTTAACACTTATCACTCAGTTTTGAGCAGTTAATGTATGAGTGATGTAAATTCAGTCCTCCCATAGTGTCTGTGAACAGGGATAAGTTTCACAGATAGCAAAATCCACTAATGTTCAAGTTCCTTATCAAATATTTGCATCTAACCTGCACATACAATCCTATATACGTTTGTCATCCCTAGATTACTTCTAATACCTAATACAATCAAATGCTACGTGACAGCCTTTACTCTATATTTTTAAGTGTACAACTTTCTTATTGTTACACTATTATTTTCTACTGTTTGGGGCTTTGTTTAGAATATTTTCCATCGACAGTTGATTGAGTCCACAGATGTGGAATCTATGGATACAGAGGTCCAACAGTAATGATGAGAAAAGAAAAAAAAATTCAGAGATTTACGTAAGACTAACCAAGGTTTATATTTTCAAATGAGAATTAAACTTCATTATTCCCTTCTCACCTGGACATATACAAGATTTTAAAATGAAGAATACTTTGTTTCAATTAGAAAAATAGTCCCTTTTCTCCCAGTTTCCTAACAAAAGGATAACATTAAATGGGTTATTCTTCAGTCAAATTATTACATAACAAGAAAAATATATAGCCGTGGAAGTACCACGTTAACTGACTACATCCTAGAGCTCCAGAAAGGCATACAGCCACATAAACTGATATCAAGATATAATACTTTAACAAAAAAACTCATTTTATAAGTATATAAAAATTTCTTTCTACCACTTAATTATTCAAAAACTTAGAACTTCTTTTAAATAGCAAAAATATTCTTCTAACTACAGAAAAAGAAAAAAAATTTTTTAAGATACCCTTCCCAAGTTTTTATTGACATAGTCACCAGGCTCAATGATATCTAATATTTTAAGAATATAAATGTTTATTTGTTATAATACAACCAAAGAATATCCCTACCTTTTTCAAAATTACTTATTTTTAAATAGTCTAGTATTAATGTAATTCATTTGTTTTCCTTTTTAAACAGAAAGTGGAATTCAGATGAAGTTTCAGTCATAAAAATTTGAGGACTATACATCACACTGACGTATCTTTAGTCTGAACCAATGCAATTTTTCTTTCTTTTTTTTTTTCAGAGTCTTACTATGTCATCCTCCATTGAGTGCAGTGACATCATAGCTCACAGCAACTTCCAATTTTTGGCCTTAAGCAATTCTCTTGCCTCAGTCTCCCAAGTAGCTGGGACTACAGACACTCACCACAACACCAGGCTATTTTTTGTTGCAGTTGTCACTGGTTAGCTGGCCTGGCCAGGATCGAACCCACCAGCCTCAGTATATGTGGCTGGCCACTGAGCCAATTTTCTTAACCAAAATAACCTACTCCAGGGCTTTGCAAATATGGGCCCACAATTTAAGGCAAATAAATTCAAAGTCACAAAAGATGTCCATGTTTTTAAAAGATACCCTAAAACCTGCTATATTTTTATCTTTGGCCCTTTCTACCTTTCACAAGACATGGCTAGATTTGTCCACTTCATCTTTCTCTTGAAAAAACTTTCCTCAGCTTATGTAACTCCTGTCCTCCAACTGTTCCTTTCTCTCGTTTATCACAGCAAATAGGACAAATAAAGTTAATTAATGTAGAACATGGAAGTGTAAACAATGAAAAAGTCAGGGATCATCTTAGTAGTTCCAGACAAAATATAAAAGAAACTGCCAATTTACAATATTATGCATTTCAAATGAATTTTACAAACTTCCTTTATTGATCTATAATAATCCCCCCTGCAAAACCTCTAAACCGACTGCCATTCAAGCTCACTAGAATAGTCTAATTTATAAAAACCATTTTATTGCATTTACTTCTTAATAGAAAAAGAAAAATGTCTTACTAGTAATGACGTCTCAGCAAAAAGTACACTTAGTTATGTTCCTTGCAGTAAATTCTTCTTTTTCACAAAATGTAATTCCTTAAGAAAAAAAATATGATAGGTGAGAAGAGAATTAAATAAACATTTTATTATTGTAAAATTCTAGCACTCAACACTATGGCTGGCAGATAGCACCACAAATACTAACAGATAGAAAATTATTAGGTTTTAAAAGTCATTTGCTACGGCTCAGAGCCCATAGCTCAGTGGTTAGGGCACCAGCCACATGCACTGGGGCTGGCGGTTTACAACTCAGCCTGGCCCCGCTGAACAACAATGATGACAACAATCACAACAACAACAACAAAAATTAGCCAGATGTTGGGGTGGGCACCTGTAGTCCCAGCTACTTGGGAAGCTAAAGCAAGAGTAAGTCCAAGAGTTTGAGGTTACTGTGAGCTGTCACACCACACTCTACTGAGGGCGCCATAATGAAACTCTGTCTCAAAAAAAAAACAAAAGTCATTTGCTTTATTTGGCTACTGAAACAAAATCTTAACCAACTGAGTATTTCTAACGTCACTAATCCATTATGGAGTGGAAGTATTACTCAATGTTCTGCAATATTCTTTGCACTGTCAGATTCAAAAATTGGTTTCCTCGGTCCTATTTTCCTATCCTCTGCATCCTGTAAGATGCTTTATTTTTATCTGTACTATGTGTACAGCCTATTGAAATTAAGTAATTTTGATAAACTAGTTTAAAACACGGTAGAAATTCTGTAAGCTGACCCCCTCCCCCAGTCATAATTGGTCAACATATGGAGGAGGTCAACATAAGGAACTCAGCCTACTGTACTAATATACATATGTAGTGCATGTCCAGTCGGAAAATAAGGTCAACTTAAAGAGGTCATCAATTTAAGAAGGTGCGCTCGGCGCCTGTGGCTCAAGCATGTAAGGCGCCAGCCACATACACCTGAGCTGGCGGGTTCGAATCCAGCCCCGGCCCACCAAACAACAATGACAGCTGCAACCAAAAA